ACAATTATAAAATAACCAAAAACAATAAAAAATATATAATCGTTTTTTTTAAAAAAATCGGCCCGATCCGATATTTTTAGAAAAAGCTAAATATCTGTACAGATCCGATATTAAATATCGGCAAGGCCCTATTACTTTGAAATATCTTCTATATGAAGCTACTAGTCTTGTTTAATGGGAAAACCTTCCGGTACATCATACAATGAAATAGATACCCTATATTAAATTTTTTATCGAAATTAAAATATTTTGCGCAGGAAAAGAGAATTTCATATTATTATCATTTTCCAGGGAATAATATTTGTAACATATTATAGCCGATTTATACCCAAATTAGCATATTAGAAAGTGATAAATTGAGAATTTATCATAAGTACCGAATTCATTTTCCATTATTTCAACAAAAACAAATATCAATTTTCTTATCGAAAGTGATCAGAAATATATATTACAGCGAGCGGGGGGGGGGGGGTAATTAATATTTTTTAGAATTATTCTAGACGTTATTTAAGAAATATATTAAGTTTCAGAAATTTATTAGGACTGATGACTATAAATATGGACAATTTATAATGCACAAATTCAAATTAATGATTAAATGTATATAATAGAAGAGGTGGGCGCGGGCCGTGAAATTACGCGTGACCCATCGTGTCACGGCGTGAGTGTGAATAAATTTTAAATTATTAGGCGTGACGGGCCTTCCCAAAATTTTTCCCGGGCGTGATCGGGCGTGAACATAAATTTACCGTGAGTCACGGAAATTTTAATTTTTTTATAAACATAAATTTGTAATTTTATAATTATATTACATATTTTCTAATTAAATTTAGTTCTTTTTTAAAAAAGAAAAATTTATGAAAACAAAAAATATTCCGGCATTTTATAAACAACATCTGGTGTCACGCTCCTAGTTCTATTTTCTTTTTATGTTTAGGTGTTTTGTCGCGAGATTTTTTACTTAAACTTTAAAATTTATTCTCAAGCACATAAGATAGGCTTAATACTAGATCCTAATTTCAAAAGCCCTAAGTTTTTAATAGACGAAGAAAAGGAAGAAATTTACAAAACAATCTTAAAAATGTGAAATGATATAAAATTGATGATATATATGCATAAGTCAATGCCAACTGTCATACTTTCCTAATTCATCCTAAATTCATAAAAAACCATATATTCTAAATGAAACATATTTTTAGATGATTCTGATGAAGCATCAACATCTACCGATGAAAGCTGTGTGAATTTAAAAGATTCATCCCATAAAACAAATAACAATGGCAATATTTTGAAGTTTTGGAAGCAGGAAAATTTATTTATTATTTTGAGAAAATTAGAGAATAAAATTTTGTCAGCCCTGGCGAATTCGGCTTTTAGTGAAAGGTTATTTTTTGTAGCCAATCACCTATTAGAGGAAAGGCGTACACAATTGAAATAAAAAAAAATAGACATTCTTCTTTTTCTAAGTAAAAATTTGGATTTATAATAAGTATTTATTTTTTGTTATTATGGATTATGGAATTAAAGAAATAAATTCAAAAAAGTGTAAAAAAATTATAGCATTAAAGTTTTGAAAAATCTAAAAACACTGTGAATTTTCGGGCGTGAATCAAAATATTGCCTTTCGTGAGCGGGTTGGTCGGGTCAAATTTTTTTTAGTGGTAAGCGTGAATATTTTTTATTGCAACCGTGAGTGGGCGGGCCGTGAATAAAAAATTAGGCCCGCGCCCACCTCTAAATAGACGTATGAATCACTATAAAATAATTCCCGAGAACTCTTTAAAAAAATATAAATTTTTCAAGCAAAATTTGACATCTTAAATTTAATTATAGTTTTAAAAAATGTTGGAAATCTAGAATAAATATTCTTAAGAATTATTGTTTGTATATAAATCAAATACCTAGGCCGGCTGTATAATAATTTTTATAAATATAGCCGGGTAAGACGAGGTCAAAATTTTTTTTAAATAAATGCCTGAGCCAGGTCTAATTTTTTTTAAAAAAATATGCAGACCGGACCGAATATTCAAAATTGCCATTAATAACTATAAAAATAAATAAAATATATTTTAAAAAAATCCGGACCGAGCCTAAAAATATTAAATCCGTGCCGGGCCGTGCAAATGGTATCTCTGCAGGTCTCTGATATAAACTACAAAGTTTTTATGAAAAAATATATGATGCCTCAAAAAATAAAATTAAGGAAGCATATTATAAATTTAAATTGTAAAATTCAATTTTCTTTGAGATTGAGAATTTTTCAATGACTTCATTAGTACTGGATGTCAACTCTCTGTATATTAAGAAGGGCTAACACCTATTTAATCTATTTTAAGAGGCACTACTTCTCGGCATTATAATAAAACGTCTCGATTTAAGCCTATTTTCATATATGGCTATCTCAGTATTTTATCCAGAAAATATTATGTAAGCCTGAAGATTTTGCTCATAGCACAAAGATTTGGACATATATTAAAGAAATCTTGGCTTAGGCAATGGCTCAAATCGAACTATTTAACATAGCAATTATCGTAGGTATGTTTTTATTCTCGTTAAAGAACTTATTTAACAACACTACACCTTAAATATATTTATTCTTGTTAAAGAAGATATATTCTTTCATGGGTAGTTGCCAGAATATATAATAACATTTTATACTAGGAAAATGGTCTAAAATGTGTTTGAAATTATTATAAGTATCTAGAGCATTTTTAAAAACATTATCAACCATAGTTAACGTTTTATACTATAGCTTGCATTCAACTAGTAATCCTGGAATACTTTAACTACTACAATAAAAATTTGCCCAATATCTAATTTTTTCTCTATCAAGATTTGATAGATTTGGAAAAATTCTGCAGCAATAATATTTGTAGATTTGTAAGTGCAGCCTGATTTATCAAGAACCTTTCATTCATTTGAGTAATAAAAGTATTCAAGATGGGGATAAAAAATTTTATTTAATAGTATTATTCGATTGACCCTATATTAAGGAACAATGGGCTTGTATTGCTGCTAGCCAAAGAGCTCTGCTTTTGACTCTACATTGACATATAATTTCTGAAATTCGTCATCTACATTTGCCCTAAGTTCCTCATTTTATATAAACCTTGAGACTATCATAGTTTCAATCAAATTGATGTCATTCTTTTGAGATATTTTATTTTAATTTTGCAGTGAATTAATTTCATATGATTTGGTATAAATCATAAAAAAGGTAGATAAATATAGAAAGAAAATTTGAAATCAATGTTGATTTTCATAAAATTTCAAAATTTCTGCTGTGAATATGATAAATAAATGTAAATTGGAATATATGTGATAAGAGGTAGAAATTAGTAATATTTTTGAAAAATATTTATCGATATCTAAATTTTTTGGGTTTTGGGAAGGAGGGACTTGCCCCACTGCCCTCTTTTGCTGCGTAAGCGCCTAATAGCGAGTGAAATGTAAAGAGGTTTCGTTGTCAGAATATTCATTTTGCAGCAAACATATTTAATCTTGGTTTCAATATTTTTGAACTAACCATCATAAGACATCATCTGGTATGGCTATAATCAATGCCCTAATTGTAGAATTCAATTTTGATATAGGTGTTGTTTTAACCAATCTCGCTGAATTTCAATCAAAGAGTGGTTTTGGGGAAAATGTGGGAATATGGGAAGATGCAAAGCATGTTCTCTGATATGGCGGAAGTGCCTTTATCTGCACCAACCTATAAGTATGATAGCAATAAAACTTATCAGTTCCTCGAGGGAATGCTGCTTCCGAGAGAAGTTAATCTTATTTTGGAAAAACCAATTCCAAAAATCGTAATAGACTTAGCAATAACCATATGAAGTTAATTTCCATAAAATGCAACTTATATTTACAACATAAAATTATTGTCGCCACATATAAAATCATCCAGTTATTTCAACTTGTGAAATTTTAGAAAATAAAAATATATCATTAGAAGATGGTGATATCATTATAGAGAAGAGACTGAGCTGAAATCTCCTCATTCTCCGATTTAATTTCATATATATTTCGATCCTTTGGATTTCAAGTATTAAATAAAAGTTTATGAATAAAAAATTAATATATTGTATTTGACTTCTTTTTTGGTTTTACTCTATTCATTAATTGTAGTTAAACATGACTAATTTTAGGCTTAAAAAACAAATGTCAAAATTTTTGATTTTTTAGCAATTTTACAAAGTTCCTCAAATTTTCCTATATTCCCAGGGTGGGAATTTTAGATTGGCACAAATAGCAAAAACTAAAAAAGAAAGTCAAGAAAAATATTTTAGTTCTTGATTTTTTTTGGTCCCAGGTTTAAGGTTTTGCGAATATAAAAGATGTGTCTGATCTTTTGATATTAGTTTTCAGTCAAGCCTTTTAAATATACCTCTTCGGTCCTATCTTTTACCTACATAAAAATCTAATAAAAAAATCACATTCTGGGACTAAATAAATTTTAAATATACTATAATATTAAAAATAATAGTTTGGTGCGAGCAAAACAAATAAAATTTTGGGTCTATATGGGATAAAGAGATAATTGCGAGGTAGATAGAATTTTTTTTTAATTAGCTGACAATGGTAAACAGGGTCTGAATCGAGTAGGTGAAAAAATAAAAATTCAATATTAATAATTTTACCACCCAACAGAAAGTGTTAAAATGCATTCCGAACTTTTCAGGAATATCTTTCCAGTTCAATTTAATCTAATATCAAATTAGTTAGATTCATTAATCCAAGCAAATATTATCACTAACTTTTTTTTCAATTAAATTTCTACACGATCGTCATTAAATGTATGTTTCATTCGAGACCGAGATTAGTGAAATATTTGATTTATTTTCATTTAAACTGATCCAAAAAATCTACCACTATTTACTAACCCTAGTAGTCAATAAGAATTATAGTGGGAAGGAAGAACCAATAGAGATTTCGGATCAGCGAAAGGTACACGAAATATTTGATGTTTAAAAAATGTTAGAATTTAACAATTTTACCAGGATGAGCTTTGTATGGGAATTTCCTTAGTGCTAAAGCGTAATGGGTAGGCGGATAATTAATGTCATTAACCTTGCCTGTTGATAGTTCAGAATCTATTGGTGTAACCTTATTAAATACCGAAAAAGATTATATATTCCTAAAATGAAGAATAATGTTGTCTGCCAAAATATGATTAGAAAAATATATACTTGTATATGTAATAAAAATAAAGGTATCTCAATAATATAGGAAAAAACATTTGAGATAAAATTGGCAAGCTAGTAGTTAGAACTTTTAAAAATAGGGATTAAAAAGTGCTAGTCTAGAAAAATACCTATAAAAATTTGACTAAAAATCTCGTCTACAAAAAAATTCTTGACGGAATATTTTTTAGTAGGGGAGAGGGGGTAAAGAGATTGATGGGGTAACAATGTTAATGCGAATAAGTTTTTCACCCGTAAGCATAAGGACCTTATATTTTGTGTGAAAATGTATTTTTATATCTAATTTCACTTATGTTTATCTTTTAAAAACTTTCCGGGTTTAAAATATTTTATCAAAAACCGTATATTACCTAAAAACTATATAATCAGTAGTCACCCTTTAGTTTATCTTGCTTTTAGCAAAATATATTATGCCTCATAATTTAAAATTTTGTATACATATTCCTATAGCTATAAAATAAAATATAGGAAGTTTATGGTATAACTAGAGGTCACGCAATAATGAATTGCATAATGTATATTAGAGATCTGCAAATCCCGGCCCGAGTAAGATTTTGATTCGGATGGGTCGGACCTAATATTTAAAAAAAAATTCGGGCCAGGTCGGGCTTAAATTTTAAAATACAATATCATTCCATTTTGTGAAATAAATTGATATATTAAATTCTAACTAGAAACAATGCGCCAATATTTTTTATTTGTAGAATATTTTTTTTACAACGAGTGGGCCGGACGGATAAATAATTTTATTTTGAGTCAAAATTTCGGAACAAATGGCAAATTTTTAAAATTTCGGGCCAGACCGGGCTTGAAAAATCAGGCCCGATGTAGATAACTAATAATTTAACGCATTGGATGGAAGTTGTTATAGGTAAAAGGGTTAAAATATTCTGTCTTAAAGCTGTTTTTATATATTAACGTATACAGTATAGACGTTACCATATATAAAGATATTTTTGGCAAAAAGTAACATTAATAGCAGGGTTTCGAACCTTTTAGTATAACGGTTCGGTTCGTTCCGGTTTTTAGTTTAAAATTTTATAAAGGTTTTGTTCCATTTCGGTTTTTTAAAAAAAATCATATCGGTTCGGTTCGGTTTATAATTTATAACGGTTCTTTTCGGTTTGTTCCGGTTTTTATAAATTTAATTTTAAAAAAAATTAATCATTAACCATGTATATATTAATTTTAGAGAAAAATCTTTTTAGTTTATAATTTCTTATTTAATTTATCCATGATAATCTAATAGATATTTTTATTAAATTTAGGAAATTTAAATTAGACAAATTAGTTTTTTTTATTTCATAAATAAATAAGAAAAAAACAAACATGCGTAAATACAATAATGAATAAAATAATATGTATACTATACTATTTAGGTTTAAAAAGAGAATTCGAAAGGATAACTATTTAGTTCTCTGCGCAGAGAGTATAAACTTAAGGCTTGAAAATGCTCTTTCTATGGAGACCTGCGTAGCTGGAACTGCTAGCACAGTTATAGCTAACTTATAAAGTTCTGGCATACTATTCTTTACATTTTCCCAATAATTCAAAAGTTTAGTATCTTTTTCTAATCTCTCTATATTATCAAATGACCGAAGTATATATTCTATTTCTATACATTTATTATAATTTTCGATGCCCTGAGATTTATTCTTATTATGACTTTCATGCGACTTTAATAAATCTTCAAAATCATCATCTAAATTATCCTTCGAATACGAACAAGGCATAGTATTTAGAATTTCAATATTCTGATTATTTAGATTTTGTATCAATTCCAAGTTTTACAAAAATGTTTTCTGGCGATCTCTCTTTCTTCAAAAGTTAAAAATACATTATATCTAGGGTCGAGATAAATAGCAGAGTAAAAAACTTCATTTTTGAAATTTATTTCTCGTGCTTTCATCGTAGAAACTAAAAGTCTGGCAAATGGAGTGTCTACTTTACTCGTTTGCATATTTGATCCACGCAGCATAAAAATCGCCCATTGTCAATTGTTCACTTTGTAAATATTTTGTCAAAACATAAGCTGGATATAAAGCTTTTAATATGTCACTAATTATTTTCCATTCATTCTCTGATAAACATTTTTCGCGATCGCTTTGGAGCGATATTTCTTGGCAAAAGCTTTTTAACTCTAGTAATCTCTCCAACATTAAATAGATAGAGTTCCATCTTGTGCAACAATCTATTAGTGGTTTTTCTAATTTAATTTTGAGAGAATAGCCATTGTTGTCTGATTTCTTATTTTTTTGCAGATGTTTCTTGCTTTATTTATAATGACAATTTCATTTGAATTTTTAATGCAATCATTAATTGCTAATTGAAATGTACGTGAAGCACATCTAATACCTATTAATATGGATCTGGCATTTGATGCAAGAATAATATTTTCAATATTAAAAGGTTCTTTATTTTCATCATGAATTATATCATTATTATTTAAATCATCATTATCTCTATATCATTATTATTTAAATCATCATTAATTAAATAATCGTTAAGGTCATCATCTTCTTCATCGTGTAGTATTAATAGCTTAATTAACTTAATAATATTTGCTGTATTATCGGTGGTTATTGTGTAAATCTGCTCAATTTTTATTTCATATTCTTTTAGAACATCTAGAATAATTTTTTTAAGATATTCTGATTGTTGTAACTGTTGAAAAAAAGAAGAAATAAATTTAATATAATACATCAAATGTCAGTTATTTTCTGACAGGGGAATTTAGTTTTCCTTGGGGGAAGAAGAGGAGATAGGGATCACGGGGTGTGTTTCATTGTTCGGAAAAACCCGTAGTTGGAGATTAAGAGATATTGGATTAGATGTCAGCTGTGGACCTTTGGATGTCAGCTGTGGACCTTTGAGAAATGAAGAATTGGATAATTATATTATGTTATATTTTTCTACATATTTTATGTTAGATTGTTGTGGTTTTATTGGAAATAAAGATAATTATGTTAAATATGGATCGTCGTTAATGGTCAATGGTATTTATTTAATATTATTAGAAAGAATTATTTTGGGGTTGTTAAGTTATATAATTGAGAGTAAAGGGCATTTTTATTATATTTAAGGTAACTTGTAATATTGTTACCGTCGACAGGATCGGATCTATCTAGGGATTAATGTGAAATCACAACGCAAGTACTAAAAAAAAAACTATAGTGAGATTAAGGATTGAGTTTAAAAATTTCTATACTTTTATATTTAACTTTAAAAAAGTGTAAGATTGAAAGTAGGTAATGAGTATTAGGCAGAAATATGGAAATAAGATCAAGAATTTAAGACAGTAATATTTGGTATATTATCTTATGTCTAGATGTATATGGTACATCTAATTTTGATCATTATTTGGTATGCCTTAAAACTCATTGAATGGTGTTATAGGTATTCCGTCATAGGAAGCTGAAAGACCTCATGAACAGCAGGACAGAAAGGATTGTTAAATATTTAAATATGTGAAATTTATGAAAATATATATGGATATAGACTTTTGTAATAAAGTGTGTATTATTTAATTATGCATTTTGGGTTTGTAAAGGGATGAATATGTATGGGATAATTTATTATTAATTAATGTTAATATATTGCATAGGTAACATATGATATATTTAACTATGAATTATTATTTATAATGTTAATATATTGTATAGGTAACATATGATATATTTAATTATGAATGAGAATTTGAACGAATTGAAGTATGATGAAGTCAGAATAATATCTATAATGTTAGATGTGGATAGTTATTTTGATTTAGTGTCTGCATTTAGTGTATATATAAATTGGATAGGAATTTATATGATACATTAGATGGTGTATAATATATTTTTTTTTAAATTATAAATTTTTATAAGAAGTTTTATTTGCAATTATTATATTATTTGTGTGGTATGCAATGATGTGAAGGAAAAATATTTTTACAGGTAAGGTCAGCCCGTGTTGAGGGGTATGCCTTGAGGTGAAAATATTGTTTAGTTTGCATACTGGGGAAAGTTTTTTTTTGTAAATTTATGCTGCATAATACGTTTTTTTTTATCTTTTTAATAATTTTATAACACATCACATTTTACTATTTAATTATGAACATATTTTTAAAGAAAAGACTCAAATTATTTTATATTGTGAAGGTATATTAAAAATTCTTTACATATATACCATATAGCCCATTATATTATCAATTTTTGTTACTTTGCATTCTACATTTTTGTGAATTTGTGCTAATTGTGATGACAGAGTTAGGTAGAAATGGTATATTTTTCTTAGGATACTGAGTAATTCCTAGATGGAAAATATTGTATTTTCTACATATTATATATTTGTTTCTTCATATATAATATTAAATGTATTTATATACGTATGTATTGTAATTTTATTTATAATCTTTGTTCGGCCAAGTTTCGCAATTATTTTTAATACCTAAAGATGGATTATTATATTCATTTTAGGAAATTTTTATAAAGATGTAGCTTTGTTTTTTTTTCACATGATAGAAGGAAAATTACATGTGTTGAAATTGCATTTCACACATAGACAATGTTTTCACATTACATTATTATATGTAAAATCATTATTTCCTAATTACCATGAATCATACCCTAATAATGTATATTATAGCTAGTAGTTCCCAAATGTCTTAAAATGAATAAATTATTATGTTTTGCGGATATTACATTGTCCATATTAATGTTCCGTAGATTATAAATGCAGATACCCCAATGTACATGTCATTATTGATAATGTCTGTTTTGGCGATTTTATATTGAAATGTACTGGAGTTATTATATTATAAATCATTATAAGGGAAGTTGATTCGATAAATTCCCTGAACATCTTCAAGGCGTCCCAATACAATTATAATGGGTGAGTCGATACAATTCAAAGAGGTGATTC